CTGGAGGGATTCCTACACAGGTCTCATCTAATATTATTTGCTTCTCCTGACCACTGATTAATGCCATGGCTGCACGGAATCCAATTCCAAGTTCAGCACAATTATCATACAGACTGTAGCCCAGAGTCACGTTGGGTAACAGCTTGGGATTACTGTTGATCTCTTCAATAGCAAAGACCATGGTCTGGGCCTGTCTAAATCCTAGAACATCAAAACTAACACAAAAAGGTACTACTGTTTACACTAAAACATCCAATATGATTTATTACGTTTATAACCATAAACGTGTCATAACTCACACTGAGCAGTAAATGAAGCCGGTTAAATAAAACATTGTGTATTTAAATTTCTGAAAATTGAATTTAAATAAAAGAACGTTTAAACATTGTTATTATTTACTCCCATATACTTTTAAAATTATTTTCCAGTCTAACATACTCACCCATGGCAGGTAGGATGTTGTGGCTTAGAGGTAAAAGACAACTGGGCAAAAACAGAAAAGAAATGTATTTCAAATAGTCCCCCCAGTACCACATCTCCAGCTTTGTGCATCCCATTTAGATGAAACTGTCCCTGTAACTCACAGGAGGAGAGCAGAGCGGGGGCTGCAGCAAAAGAAAAAGGGGTATGCATCACGAGCAAAAGCACGTTTGTGTACATGAAGGACCACATGTGTTTTATCTGTACGATCCTTTCACTAAGCTCCGTCTTTTTTTTTTTTGTCTCTGCCTCTTTTATTGGTTTTCAGTATCTCATCATGCACACCTAAAGGCTGCAGAAGTGGGCAGATCCTGAAGTGAGTTTCTTTCAGATAACTTTTGTAATAATTGAATGCTAATTTTAAAAGAAAAATTTACCTAATAACATAGTGGTAGAAATAAAACAAAACAAAAAACAAAAAAGAAATAAATGAAAAATATTGTTATCATTACTAAGATGAACATTTTCCATAAATTATTTTGGTTATGATTTAATATGTTTTTTGTGTGTGTGTGTATTCTTCTTTTGGGTTATGCAAACAAACAATTTCATTCCCTTCAATGCAAATGATACAGTATCTATTTGACCTCTAAAAGCTACTGAAGAACAGTGAAAGCACCACAAAATATAATAATTCCTCTTTGAAAAACTGTAAAAAAAATGTTGCAAAACAAAGACTTTAGAGAATTGAGATTTTATATATAATGCTTCAATAATTTAGGTTTATTGGAACAATTATTGCAAAGTACAAAGCCGGAAATAGTGGCTGCATTCTTTAATTTTTTTGGTCAAGAGTTTGAATTTCTCAAACCAGCCACTAGGGAGCACAAGCCAGTGTATCTCTTGTGCCGGTCCCAAGCCCGGGTATATGGTGAGGGTTGTGTCAGGAAGGGCATCCGATGTAAAACACTTTTGCCAAAACCATAATGCAAGTTCATCAAAACGAAACCATACCAGATTGGTTGAGGCCCGGGTTAACAATGACTGCCACCGGTGCTGTTGACTAACAGGGTGCCGGCGGAAATTGTGCTACTGGTAGTCGAATACCACAAGGAGGGAAACGTGTCAGGAGACAGAGGGAGAAGGGGAAAGTGAAAAATGTAGGACTGAGGGTTGCAACTTTAAATGTGGGGACAATAACAGGCAAAGGTAGAGAGCTGACTGACATGATGCAGAGAAGAAAGGTAGATGTTCTATATGTCCAAGAGACCAAGTGGAAGGGCAGCAAGGCTCGCAGCATTGGAACAGGGTTCAAACTGTTTTACCATGGTGAGGATAGAAAGAGAAATGGAGTAGGGGTGGTCCTGAAGGAGGAGTTGGCAAAGAATGTAGTAGCGGTGAAAAGAGTGTCAGATAGGATGACGTGCCTGAAGGTAGATGTAGAAGGTCTGATGCTAAACATCATCAGTGGTTATGCTCCACAGGTTGGATGTGATGGGGAGGAGAAAGATACATTTTGGAAAGATCTGGATGAAGTGATAGAGAGTATTCCCAGGGAGGAGAAAGTGGTGATTGGAGCAAACCTGAATGGACATGTTGGTGAAGGAAACAGAGGGGATGAGGATGTGATGGGTAGGTTTTGAGTCAAGGAAAGAAACCAGGAAGGACAGATGGTGGTGGATTTTGCCAAAAGAATGGAAATGGCTATAGTCAATACCTTTTTCCAAAAGAGAGAGGAACATAGAGTGACCTATAAGAGTGGAGGAAGGGGTATGCAGGTTGACTACATTCTGTGTAGAAGAGGAAACCTGAGGGAGATTGGAGACTGTAAGGTTGTGGCAGGGGAAAGCATGGCCAGACAGCATCGAATGGTTGTGTGTAGAATGACTGTTGTTGTGAAGAAGAGAAAAAGAGTAAAATCAGAGAATAAGACCAAATGGTGGAAGCTGAAGAAGGAAGAATGTTGTGAGAAATTCAGAGAGGAACTGTTAAAGGCTCTGGGTGGTAATAAAAAGCTTCCAAATGACTGGACTACTACAGCAACAGTAATTAGAGAGACAGGTAGGAAGATACTTAGTGTGTCATCTGGACAGAGAATGGAAGATAAGGACACCTGGTGGTGGAATAGTGAAGTGTAGGACGCTGTTCAAAGAAAGAGATTAGCCAAAAAGAAAAATGACAGTGAGAGGACTGAAGAGAGGAGACAGGAATATAAGGAGATGGGACGTAAAGCAAAGAGGGAAGTAACTAAAGCAAAGCAGAGGGTGTATGATGAGTTGTATGGGAGACAGGACACTAAAGATGGCGAGACGGACTTGTACCAATTGCAAGACAGAGGGATCAGGCTGGAAAGGATGTGCAGCAGGTTAGGCTTATTAAAGATAGGAATGGTTATGTTCTAACAAGTGAGGAGAGTGTGATTGGAAGATGGAAGGAGTATTTTGAGGAGCTAATGAATGAAGAGAATGAAAGAGAAAGAAGAGATGAGGTCATAGAAACTGTGGACCAGGAAGTAGGAAAGATTAATGAGGGTGAAGTCTGGAAAGCTCTGAAAAGAATGAAGAAGGGGAAGGCAGTAGGACCTGATGGCATATCAGTGGAGGTTTGGAAATGTCTTGGAGAGATGGCAGTGAGGTTTTTGACTCAGATATTCAATGGCATAGGCAGCACGGTGGCACAACTGGTAGAGATTCAGCCTCTCAGCGAGCAGGTCCTTGGTTCAAACCCCGGTCCAGGGGCCTTCTGGGTGGAGTTTGCATGTTCTCTCTGTGCATGCGTGGGTTTTCTCCGGGTGCTCCGGTTTCCTCCCACAGACCAAAAACATGCATGTTAGGCTGATTGGTAACTCTAAATTGTCCCTAGGTGTGAGTGAGCGAGTGAATGGTTGTTTGTCTCGTTTGTCTCTATGTGGCCCTGTGATGGACTTGCGACCCGTCCAGAGTGTACCCCGCCCCTCGCACAGTGATTGCTGGACATGGGCACCAGCGACCCCCGTGACCCAAAATGGAATAAGCGGGTAAAGATAATGGATGGATTCAATGGCATATATGAGGGTGAGAAAATGCCTGAGGAATGGAGAAGTGTGCTGGTGCCCATTTTTAAGAACATGGGTGATGTATAGAGTTGCAGCAACTACAGGGGAATTAAGTTGATGAGCCACACGATGAAGATCTGGATGAGAGTTGTGGAAGCAAGACTTAGATGAGAGGTGACTATCTGTGAGCAGCAGTTTGGTTTCATGCCAAGAAAGAGCACCACAGATGCCATCTTTGCTTTGAGAATGCTGATGGAGAAGTACAGAGAGGGTCAGAAATAGCTCCATTGTGTCTTCGTGGATTTAGAAAACACATATGACAGAGTGCCAAGAGAGGAGGTATGGTATTGCATGAGGAAATCTGGAGTGGCAGACAAGTATGTTAGACTGGTACAGGACATGTATGAGGACAGCAGGACAGTGGTGAGATATGCTGTAGGAGTGACAGATAGCTTCAAGGTGGAGGTGGGATTGCATCAAGGATCGGCTCTGAGCCCCTTCTTGTTTGATCTGGTGATGGACCGTCTAACAGATATGGTCAGGCAGGAATCCCCATGGACTATGATGTTTGCAGATGACATTATGATCTGTAGTGAGAACAGGGAACAGGTGGAAGAGAACTTGGAGAGGTGGAGGTATGCACTTGAAAGAAGAGGAATGAAAGTCAGCCGTAGTAAGACACAGTATATGTGTGTGAATAAGAGGGAGGCCGGTGGAACAGTGAGGCTACAAGGAGCAGAGGTCACAAAGGTGTAGGACTTCAAGTACTTGGGATCCACTGTCCAGGAAAATGGGGAATGTGGCAATGAAGTGAAAAAGAGGGTCTAAGCAGGATGGAATGGATGGAGAAAAGTATCAGGGGTGATTTGTGACAAAAAATGTGTCAGCAAATGTCAAAGGAAACGTTTACAAGACAGTAGTGAGACCAGCTATTCTGTATGGTCTGGAGACAGTGGCACTGACAAAAAGAAAGGAGAAAAAACTGGAAGAGCAGAAATGAAGATGTTGAGGTTCTCCTTAGGAGTGACAAGGATGGATAAGATTAGGAATGAGATCATCAGAGGTACAGCACATGTTGAACAACTGGGAGATAAAGTTAGGGAGGCCAGACTGAAATGGTTTGGACATGTCAAGAGGAGGGACTGTGGGTATATTGGCAGAAGGATGTTAGAAATGCAGCTGCCAGGAAAAAGACAAAGAGGAAGGCCAAAGAGAAGATATATGTATGCAGTTAGAGAGTACATTAAGGTAGTTGGAGTGAAGACTGAGGATACAGAGGACAGAGTGAGATGGAGGACTCGCAGTGGCGACCCCTGAAGAGGGAAAAGCTGAAAGAAGAAGAAGAAGTTTGGATTTCTCAGTTTCAAGTAAAAAAAAAAAATCAAATGCAATTCCCTACTACTATGAATCACAGTTAACTCGGCCACTGAACACAATAATGAACAAATCCAACATTATTTTCATCAGCCACTGAAACACAGTTAAATAGGACGCAATGCCATTTCCTGATTCAGGTTACAAAGTCCCAAAGAAATGGAAGACATCATTATAACTTGATGCTCCGACCCATGATAGCTTTCTTTGTGTTCTTTTCTGGTTTCATCAGAAGTATGTAACATTTAGGCCCAAACAGTGCTGCCAAGAGACCAAAACTGGATGCCAGGATAGCAAACACCTCCACTGCATCTGCATATTTTCCTGGGGAGTTGATGTAGGCTGGAACAAAGGCCACCCACACAGTACAGAAGATCAACATGCTGAAAGTGATGAGTTTGGCCTCATTGAAGTTGTTGGGAAGATTTCTTGCAAAAAATGCTAAAAGAAAGCTAAGAACAGCTAATATTCCAATGTAGCCCATTAACATAACAAAACCAACAGTAGAGCCAATTGCACATTCATATACTATCTTGTCAATATGGTACTGGGTATTTTTATGTGGAGCAGGTGAGGATAAGACAAGCCAAGTGGTGCAGATTGTTGCCTGAATGCAAGTAAGAACTAAAATGGTCCCCCTCTGCTGCATAGCTCCAAACCATTTGAGATTTGCTCCACCTCCTGGCTTGGAGGCTTTAAACACAGCCAAAACCACCATTGTCTTAACCAAGATGCATGAGACACAAAGAACAAAGCTGATCCCAAATGCTGCATGTCTCAGTTGGCATGTCCACAGTCTGGGTTGTCCAATGAAGAGCAGCGAACACAAGAAACATAGTTTGAGTGACATAAGGAGCAAAAAGCTCAGTTCTGAATTGTTGGCTCTGACTATAGGTGTACTGCGGTGACAGATGAAGATCCCCAGAACAACAGCACAGATAAAAGTGCCCAGTAATGAAGCAGCTGTCAAACAGATACCCAGAGGCTCCTGATAGGACAGGAACTCAGTTTTCTTAGGAACACAGTGGTCATGCTGGGGGCTGGACCAGAAGTCCTCTGGACAGCTGAAGCACTCCAAGGAATCTGGGGGGAAAATGTTTTATATAACAATAAAACTATGTGTAATAGTACAAAAAAAATGCCAAAACATTGAAACCCACTTGTTTTATTGCTGATTTTCCCACCAGAACAAGGGATGCAGTCAAAACAACACAAAGGTTCCCCCTTCTTTCTCACCATGCGGGTACCTGGAGGACAGCCCTCGTTGCACACTGAACTCGGTGGCTATAAAAGTGTGAAAAGTGTAATGTTTTATTGTACTTTCTTTATCGTTTCCTTTATGACATCAAATTGACAAAAGTAAAAAAGGACCTTTTTGGGCTCAAAGTTCCAGAAGATTTTGTCTTCATCAAGCGTCAATTCTTCACCCTCAAGAACTGACATTTTAACATCTCCCACATACTGAACCTCAGTTCGTCCATCAGGGAGCCACAACCAGTTCATAACATCATAAATTGGTGAAGCATCACCGTTTGCATCAAACGACACCTGATCACCAAATGATGTGGTGAAATTGACTTTTTTCAAGTAATATAAAAGCTAAATGAAAGCCAGAAACAGAAGAAAATTAAAGAGAACAAATGAAAATATATTCTGTAGTCAGCTCAATCAGCACAAGAAGACATTTTAAACTTTTGACAGCATCTAAGTGCTAAATGTGCAAACACTAAATTCTAGTGACAAACATTACTATTCCTACGAGAACGTCTCGAAGATGTCTTCTTGTCATTTTGCTATTCAAATTGTTTTTTCTTGTAGACTAAATACAACTGTACATTTTAAAGTAGGTGAACCACATTATACCTGCCATGGCTGAAGTGTGTGTACATCAGCACAACTACCCCCACTGAAAGGCCCCCTGCTTGGTTCACACTGCAGCATATTATGAAGAGCATATGCCAGTGCATACACAGCCTTATACACATTGTACTCAGGCCTGAGGTTAGAAATGTCCAAAAACTCTGTTTCCACACCTCTAAAATCCTCTTTTCCACTACATAGTGTTCCACCCTTCTCCACCCAGCCTGTTGGAGGTGGTGCAAATTTGCACAGGAATATGAATTCCCAAAACTGGTTCACCTGTAAACCATTCAAAACTGCTTTATTAAACAAACAAATATAACTTTTCTCTTTTTTAACATTGGAGGAAATAATAAAGTAGAGCCATATCTCACCATGCTGTTTCCATTGCTGTTGTTGTGAAGTAAATCAGGACGTATTTCTAACAGGAAGTTTTTGAGGCCTGGTATCTCTCCTCGACGAATAGCTATACCCAGCGTACCACCCAGGTACGGCATGAGGTGGGGCGTCTGAAGAACAGCAGCTGTGGTCCATGCTTCACTCGCCAACCACTGCAGGCCTGTCAGATTCTGCCTCACCACCTGTTTATATGTGAAATCTCATATTTTTATGATACTACAACATGGCATACATAGATCAAACAGTGTGGTTTAATTCTTCATTTACTCGTCCACAGACTAAACCCAAAGTTAGTAAAATATAAATTGAATTCAGTGTAGATGAACAGATGCTCAGATATATTCATCATTTAACACGGATTCCTCATTTTTCTGGACTGAATAAAACGTGCATTGAATTTAAGGAAATGCAAACGTGAGACGTCATTTATATTTGACCCATCAAAATGAATGCGGTCATTTATTTACAGAATCAAAATTTAACATCAAACATTTACATTAATTTGGCAAATTATGAAAATAACAACATAAGCAATTAATCAGGAAAAATCATACGGCCATGATTTTTCCGTTGCTTCACCACAGCGATGTTATGAAAACTGTACAATTATGATCTTTTACCCACATGAATGTGGGTGAGCATTTTACACAGACATTTCTAAAATATCTGGAAGAATTTCTACTTGAGAGAAAAGTTTAAAGATGGAAAGAAGTTTAGAGGGAGTAAGATGGTGTGTGAGGGGTGAAATGTGTTCACCAGAATCGACACTCTCCGGCTTTCTTCAGCTTTTCCTTACAGTACACTTAGGTGATGAAATCGGCTCCTTTACCTGGAGATGTCTCAGGTGAGATTCCGTTTAACGCACCCTTTCAGCGTCTCAGTAGGATGCTGTTACTCGTCCGAAGTAATGGCGAGGCTCTGTTCGACACATATTCACCTCAGTGGAAAATGTTATAATCCCATGGAACTCGGAAGAGCTCTGTTGTCAGGATCATCCCGTCTCTCACAGAACTGGTTGGACTGTGTATCCAGCAGAACTCCAACAGCACTCCATCAGAACTTCAACAGAACCAAGACCGAGTAGACCAGGAAGTACTGACATTTTAAAGAGCTGTTTCCCGGTTCACTTTTGGGATTTGTTCATTGGTCAGAAACGACCAGACGGGGTGTGTTTTGTGACGTAAGAGGTTAGAGACAGCGAGAATTGTTATGAAACAGATCAGAAATGTTCTCACAGACAGAGAGAGTTTTGTTTTGGCGCTGTTTCAGCAACAGGTGCTAAAACTTCTCTATTTACGTCTGAGAGGATTCTAAAACATGACAGTTCTAACATAACAACTTGTTTTGCGTTTTATTCCAACCTTGGACCAACTTACACTTGCTCATTCAAAAGCAGAAATCAGAAAAGGCATAATTACTCTGTAACAGCTTTGACATGAGAATAAAAATCATTACACAGTTAATAAAATTGATTAGTTCACTGCCACATCTAAAATGGTTTGAACTAAGACACTTTGATTATCAACATTTGAAAAATAGTAATGATAATAAAAAGAGAGTGTTCTTTTCACTTGAATCTTCAAGAAAGAAAGTCTCAGGATGGGTGAACCTGTATTTCTGAGTTCAAATGAATGAAATGACAGTTCCTGTCCCACAAGGTTCTAAAGGTCAAGAGTTTTGACCTTAGACTTAGTTTTTGACATGGGCCTAGTCCACTACA